CTTATTTGTGTCAAAGTAATCAAAGTTTCCAATTTCTTGATGTCACGCAATATCTCTCCCCCGGAACGAGCTATTCTCAGTTTTTGAAAGTGTTTGGAGTGCAAAGGAAAAAGGGATTTTTCCCGTACGAGTATCTTGACACCCCGGAAAAGCTAAACGAAACTCGACTTCCCCCCTCTGGGTGAGGCGTGGTATTCCAGTCTCAAACAGAAGTCCGTCCTAGATGTCTGCTAGCCCTAATTCTAACTCCTAAAAACATGTTGTTAGCAGAGCGTGGTTTCGATCCACGGTCCTCTGGGTTATGAGCCCAGTGCGCTTCCACTGTGCCACTCTGCTCTCCCTTCACCTACCTTTTGTTAGGACTTTTATACACCACATCAACCAATGACAACCAAAATTGATTTATTCTCAAATAGTCTCAAATACACACAGAATTGTACAATGAACATCACACTCTTACACATGTAAATCTACACGACTACCCCAACGGACCACTTCTTTCTGAGGTACTCCTACCAGGGCCAAATACGGACAGTTTGGAGACCATTTTTCATGTTCGACCCAAGGATCATCCTCTACGTCCCAGTTCCGGAGAACAACACCACATTGAACACACTTGCAAGCGTCCCCTCTGATTAAGTACACAAATCCTGCCTGGGCCATTTGACTAGGACTCTGTTTCATCTGCACAGGCCAGGACTGAAAGGAATTGAGCCGTTCTTGGAACTGTGTTCGAGGTCTGAGAGGGATACTGTCCATACATAGGTACCCACCTAGATCATCATGACCATGAGGATACTCTGTCTCTAGTCCCAGCAATGTCATGGCTTGTATCTCTCCGCATTCCTCCAACGCTTTGCAGAAGAGGGTGTAAGCTTGGGGTCCTCGCCGGGGAAGGGTATCTAATAAAGCTCTCACCCGGTCAAAGAACGTCCGTGGTTTTTCGATAATCTCTGCCTTCATGAAGATGGTAAGGACTTCAAACTGTACCAGTTTGTCCACCACCTCTTCTACGTGCTTTATAGCTTGCACTAGACCGGAGTGATTCTTCCTCAGGATATCACGGTGAACGGCTTCCATCTTCAAGATAAACAGTCAACAGAGAGAGAGAGAGAGAGAGAGACAGTTGTATAGCTGGATGTTGTCTGTGTAGTCAGGGATGAAGTGATGCATGATCCGAAATGAAGGGGTTTATATATTTTCATCCCAAACCAGATTAAACCAGTTGATCTATCCGTATGCCATGATGCCATTCTCTTTCGGTTGCTGTGCACCTCTGGAAAGTGGTTTATCCCAAGGTCAGCTCAGTACAAGGTCATTGACACCCCTGTGAAATGAGGTCAGCCAGGTGTTCGATGATGACGTCTATTTCGTCTATTTCAACCTGTCTACAACATATATTTTCTCTGGCCAATTGTGTCCCTTGTCGACTTCCAGTAGCAAACAGTACGTTAACCCAGAAACTGTACGTCCAAAATGTGAAACCAATAAATTATAAAGAAATACTATATATTAACAAATCTATTATATAATTAACTAGATTTACAAATCAATACGCATTACTGTGAAGTAGGTTCAGCGACAGTGCACTACACAGTGACATTACATTCAATGGCAGTACATAATACAATAGTATGAGTAATGGTACAATATCGACAGGGGACATAATTCCATTGATGTACCACTTCTTCATTTAATGAATGCGACGTTTCAGGCTAGATACAATGGCGGTTATCAAGTGTATGATGTACAGAAATATGAATTAGGAAGGTGACTTACTTGAGGATAATTGACGTCTATACAAGTATAAATGATGATAGATTGGTGTTTACACATCAGATGAAGTTGAAGAGTAGAGTCCGTTTGATGTATATGTAAGAATAAATAGGATTAACAAGGCATGAGGAGTTAACAACACACATTATTAATTAGAAATCCAGTACGCGATGGTCAAGTTGCACAAAGGCCTCAACTTGATACTCAGGGTGAAATAACGATCGTAATACAACCGCAGGACTTGTTGCAATGCTAAGCGAAGGAACATGCACCTTTCCACTTATATAGTCTTCATACCCTCTAGTTTCATATCTGTTGGATTAGAGTATAGATGTTTTAGAAGTTTCCAGGTTACTCTTGACCCCAAAACATTGGGCTACAAAAACGTCCACGCAGCTGACATTATATAATAATACGTTCCTGAAAACTAATTATTGTTACAACACAGTGGTGTGAATTTCTACTTAATGTGTACAACAACAAAAAAACTACCGCATTGTTTGGCAATAATTTACACTAACGTGTAACAAATGGTAGTCTTCGCAAATTGTATTCCAGACATAGATTATGATGTGTATTAATGTAGCAGTTAATCTAAAGCCTTTATTGGAACACTGGCCAGACATTGTGGAGCACCCCTCTTGTACAGCATCCACATGTACGTGGGCACAAAGAATGGGTACCTTGTTCCATGTGAAGATTCGAACCTTAGTCTTCTGCCCAACGCTGTAACCACTTTGCTAACCCATCGTCACTTAAGGAACCTACCGCGGTGGTCAGAAGATATATTCCGGTACTTTTGATGGGGATATTTTATATTGCCACTTAAGGAACGTGGCCAGAATGGAACCATGCAGATGGTTATAGAACTATCACAGTGCCACAAGAAAGCACTTTAGCTACACTAGCTACCTTTGGTAGGAATTATCCTTCCAAGATACCCAAACCTGATTATGATGACATGTCAAGCAAATATTTAAGCACAACGACCTATCGGACTACCCCTGTCAAAACGTGCGTAGTGTACAATAAGATAGGGATGACAAGGCTTTATGGATGTTCAACTTCTTTATTTTAACAATGGCGACGTTTCGACATGCTTATACCGTTTTCAAGCATGTCGAATACAATTTGCGAAGACTACCATTTGTTACACGTTAGTGTAAATTATTGCCAAACAATGCGGTAGTTTTTTTTGTTGTTGTACACATTAAGTAGAAATTCACACCACTGTGTTGTAACAATAATTAGTTTTCAGGAACGTATTATTATATAATGTCAGCTGCGTGGACGTTTTTGTAGCCCAATGTTTTGGGGTCAAGAGTAACCTGGAAACTTCTAAAACAGCTATACTCTAATCCAACAGATATGAAACTAGAGGGTATGAAGACTATATAAGTGGAAAGGTGCATGTTCCTTCGCTTAGCATTGCAACAAGTCCTGCGGTTGTATTACGATCGTTATTTCACTCTGAGTATCAAGTTGAGGCCTTTGTGCAACTTGACCATCGCGTACTGGATTTCTAATTAATAATGTGTGTTGTTAACTCCTCATGCCTTGTTAATCCTATTTATTCTTACATATACATCAAACGGACTCTACTCTTCAACTTCATCTGATGTGTAAACACCAATCTATCATCATTTATACTTGTATAGACGTCAATTATCCTCAAGTAAGTCACCTTCCTAATTCATATTTCTGTACATCATACACTTGATAACCGCCATTGTATCTAGCCTGAAACGTCGCATTCATTAAATGAAGAAGTGGTACATCAATGGAATTATGTCCCCTGTCGATATTGTACCATTACTCATACTATTGTATTATGTACTGCCATTGAATGTAATGTCACTGTGTAGTGCACTGTCGCTGAACCTACTTCACAGTAATGCGTATTGATTTGTAAATCTAGTTAATTATATAATAGATTTGTTAATATATAGTATTTCTTTATAATTTATTGGTTTCACATTTTGGACGTACAGTTTCTGGGTTAACGTACTGTTTGCTACTGGAAGTCGACAAGGGACACAATTGGCCAGAGAAAATATATGTTGTAGACAGGTTGAAATAGACGAAATAGACGTCATCATCGAACACCTGGCTGACCTCATTTCACAGGGGTGTCAATGACCTTGTACTGAGCTGACCTTGGGATAAACCACTTTCCAGAGGTGCACAGCAACCGAAAGAGAATGGCATCATGGCATACGGATAGATCAACTGGTTTAATCTGGTTTGGGATGAAAATATATAAACCCCTTCATTTCGGATCATGCATCACTTCATCCCTGACTACACAGACAACATCCAGCTATACAACTGTCTCTCTCTCTCTCCCTCTCTCTCTGTTGACTGTTTATCTTGAAGATGGAAGCCGTTCACCGTGATATCCTGAGGAAGAATCACTCCGGTCTAGTGCAAGCTATAAAGCACGTAGAAGAGGTGGTGGACAAACTGGTACAGTTTGAAGTCCTTACCATCTTCATGAAGGCAGAGATTATCGAAAAACCACGGACGTTCTTTGACCGGGTGAGAGCTTTATTAGATACCCTTCCCCGGCGAGGACCCCAAGCTTACACCCTCTTCTGCAAAGCGTTGGAGGAATGCGGAGAGATACAAGCCATGACATTGCTGGGACTAGAGACAGAGTATCCTCATGGTCATGATGATCTAGGTGGGTACCTATGTATGGACAGTATCCCTCTCAGACCTCGAACACAGTTCCAAGAACGGCTCAATTCCTTTCAGTCCTGGCCTGTGCAGATGAAACAGAGTCCTAGTCAAATGGCCCAGGCAGGATTTGTGTACTTAATCAGAGGGGACGCTTGCAAGTGTGTTCAATGTGGTGTTGTTCTCCGGAACTGGGACGTAGAGGATGATCCTTGGGTCGAACATGAAAAATGGTCTCCAAACTGTCCGTATTTGGCCCTGGTAGGAGTACCTCAGAAAGAAGTGGTCCGTTGGGGTAGTCGTGTAGATTTACATGTGTAAGAGTGTGATGTTCATTGTACAATTCTGTGTGTATTTGAGACTATTTGAGAATAAATCAATTTTGGTTGTCATTGGTTGATGTGGTGTATAAAAGTCCTAACAAAAGGTAGGTGAAGGGAGAGCAGAGTGGCACAGTGGAAGCGCACTGGGCTCATAACCCAGAGGACCGTGGATCGAAACCACGCTCTGCTAACAACATGTTTTTTTAGGAGTTAGAATTAGGGCTAGCAGACATCTAGGACGGACTTCTGTTTGAGACTGGAATACCACGCCTCACCCAGAGGGGGGGAAGTCGAGTTTCGTTTAGCTTTTCCGGGGTGTCAAGATACTCGTACGGGAAAATCCCTTTTTCTTTTGCACTCCAAACGCTTTCAAAAACTGAGAATAACTCGTTCCGGGGGAGAGATATTGCATGACATCAAGAAATTGGAAACTTTGATTACTTTGACACAAATAAGCATTGTTTTTCTTGACGTTGAAAGCCTGAGATTCGTCGTCGAGAGAGAGATGTTTGGGAAGTTTCTCCTTAATGATATTCAGGTCGTAACGAGCTGAATTAAATCCGAGGACGGGGACTTGAGAACAGTATCCCAGAAGCTTCCCGCAGTGATCGCTCACACGCTTTCTCCACTTAGTCTCGGGTGTAGAATGTGTGCGAGTAGGTTTACCTTGGGTGGGGTGGTTGTCACCCTCCATGACGTTGTGAGCATCATCATCATCATCATCATCATCATCATCATCACCACCACCATTGTCAGGCAACGACTTTATCATATCGCGCAAGGTTTCTAACACCTCTTTATATTTTGCTTTGGCTAGCTTGTTTACAGCTTTGCCTATTTCCATCATGTATTCCAACATGGCTGCAATCAATCGATCCGGATCGGAATCGACGATGCAGTGTGGTGAAGTAAACCCTTCCACATTGGAACACACGCTGACTGAGATGGGGCGGTGTTCTTGTGTCCATCTCAGTTTTGGGGTTGCGGTATTCATGGGTTTAAAAACCAAAAAAACAAGAAAAACCAAAAAAAACAACTTCCAGCTCGTCAAACACGGTCTTTGGGGTGTGGTGGAAACCAACCGGGAACCACAAAGTCGTTTGACCTGTGCAACGACGTTGGTGTTCGTTGCATTTGTTTTGACGCCTGAAGAGACGTTCGCACATGGGACACTGGTAGCGTTTACAATAGATGGTCATGTCGGTGATGAGGGACAAATGATTTTCGAATTGATTTAAATGCATGTGTTCCTGATACAACCCTCGAGATTTATACACGAGTTGAGCTACTCCTGTCACGTCAAGAGTGAACACGCTCACATTCACACGGAAACAGGCTTCAAAGTGAGGTAAGAGAGCTGGGTCGAGACCTTTATACTCTTCGGGACCAATCTTATAGAAAGAGTGGAGATGATGGTCCCGACAGTACATGACCCACTGATAGTAAAGAGCTTTGATAGGCTTTTCTAAAGCACCCCGACTTGAAGGATCTCGATGCAATGCCAAACACTGGAAAGCGCATAAGTGATCCTTATAAAGTTGTTTAGTCTTCTTGTTATAATCTAAAGAAAGGATAGCTTTATGATTTTTAATATATTCGGGGAGAGGGGCTGGAGGGTGGCCGAGCGGAAAAATTTGTTCTGTAAATAAAGAAATTCACATTGGTATTCAAAACAGGTTTCCATTTGGTATCGGGGCGTTGTTTGAGGAGTAAAGACATGACATCTAAGCTTTCCAGTCTCTGGTGTAACCGTTCGAGATCCTCCAACTCGGTGATATAGAGAGGACTAGTAAAGAGAGGATCGACAGCGTAAGGATGGAAATAGCGATAGCGTCCGTCTCCACGTGCCGTAGGATGACACCGAACACTAAATTCATCCGAAAACTATGATTTAACGATTGATAGATATCCCTAGCACGTTCCATCAACTCACCTATGGAAATATTGTTGTTAAGTGGGAGGTTGTAGATTGAAAAAACACCTCGCACGGTTGGTCCCGTGCGAGGATAAACGGAGCATCCAGGTCATAGGCTTCCTGGAGTCCGGGCTCCGTCACCTCGCCAGTGCTCTCGTCTACCCACAGGGCTGGACCTTCTCCCCATGGGCGTGGTTGGAGCTCACTAACAGCAGCATCGGTATCCATACTCCCGCCGGACTGCGATGGTAGGATACGGTGTCCCTCTATCATCTGATGACGGTAGAGAGACAACCGATCCTCGAAACGCCTATGACATATCCGGCAGGTACAACCATTCGATGCTGCAACGCGGGAAGACGAGGGAGTTGGTGATAGAGAAAAATTTCAATGTATGAATACTAAGTCTCATATAACAGCATCATTCACTCACTTCGAGCTCTTATGCTTCAAATAAAACTCATGACTAACACATGGTATAATACTTCCAAAGCGAATACATATTAACACTATGACGAACTGAATTAATACATAATTCAGGGCTACCTAAAACCCTTAGCATATAAAATACTATTCAATATCTACCTCCACTACCACGAGAGTTTCCCGCCCTTGCAGCCTGACCCGAGGAGGTGGACAGTGTCAGCTGGCTTGTGCCTGAAATACAAAAACAATTTATTGAAAACATTCCCCAGCCGATGCTATCTACAAACACATCTCACACACACACGCACGCACGCACGCACGCACGCACGCACGCACGCACGCACGCACACACGCACACACACATTGAAACCCTACGTGGTACGAACCTCGGTAATACTAACCATCGTACATGGATGAATGAAGTGACGGAGAGATATAATAGAGCTTACCCCACTAACCGGCACTCCTCTCGAGGTAGACGGGCGTGCGTGAACATCTGTTTGCGTAGTTGTGCCTGTAAATATACATCATTATCTGTACATACTAAACTAAAACACACTCGAAAATACACGGAAGCAGTACATAGACAAGATTAATGACGGAGATGAACATAAACTCACCGGAAGAATGAACGCGCCGAAAATGCACGCCCAGCTCACGGGGAGAAGGGAACACCTCGGGGCATTTCTGTATATAGAAGTAACATTTTTAAGCAAAATGCTCTGAATTATAGGGGAAGTTTGTCGCTATGTCGCTGTAACATTTAACTTTACTGATGATAACCACTGCGATACTATGTCAAAGTAACATTTGCAACTGTAGACAACATTGCTCACGTCTTTAAAATATTCACTTTATGAAACAGTCGGTTAAAGACATAAGAAGATAATATCTCTACATATGATCAAATATATCTGATGATATTATAGCCGACAGAAGCGAGAACTTACACATAAATAATAAACACTACTCACGCTACATCGATATTCCGATAGCCGTTGTTGCGACAAGGCACATTTGTGTTGCTTCAGTTTTTTTATTTGAAGCAAAAGATTTTGTGCATGGAAAGCACACGTAACGTTCTCCCCGGTGAACTGATCGCACATGGCGGCAAAGGTTATCTTTTTTATTAAAACCTTTCCCGCACTGTGGACAGGTAAATTGTCTGAAAGACATAACGTTTCTTTCAATTCACGCTAGAGATACAAAAATTGTTTCTACATGATTTCATAAACTTGGTCATGAAACTCATAATTACTATACTAACATATACCCTTTTATTGAAATCAAAACATTTGTTAGCTGTAGCATTCACATTTATAAAAATTAAATAGTGAGACCTCATTAAGAAGTATACTTACGCGTTTGTTGAGTCCATGTTCAGACTGGTCACGTAAAAGTTGATGAATTCTCGCTCGTTGTTGAAACTAAAATAACGCTCTGGTGTGCAGATGATGTCTATATAGGATATTTTACGAATAATGATTGACAAATAGTAACTATCCATTCAACGCGCCTGTGTATCTCACTGTAGACATGACTGACAGGTTGGGATAGGGACCACCCATGTATGCTCACACGGGAAAAGACATTGAACCTTTTCCTTCACAGCCCTCAGTTCACACACCGAATGGTACACACACCTGCCTGTTGCATTGACTGTTCAGTCATGCATGTCGTCCTCCTTGAGTACTGAGTATACTTCGTGAACTATGGTTTTCAGTCTGATGACGTTACTTGGAATGTGATGCCATCTACACGTCTAACCTGATTCGTTACTTTTCAAACACCTACACTTATATTTTCCGAGCATAATCCTTAATTTAGGTTGAAGTAAAATGTATTTATCATTATATTGTAAGATGTTTCCAACGTCTAAATTCCTAAACTAGGTTCTCTCTTCGAATGAAGGGTAATTATTGTTAAACACGTTGCTCACCGCTAAATTTTCTTATAGATTGCAAATTCCGTCTCTTTCCCAACAAACCTAGCTGCATGCTGTCGCACTGCTACATGTTTCATCGTTTGTTTTGTTTGGTTGTTTTTTGTTTTTGTTTTTGTTTTTTGTTTTTGTTTTTGTTTGTTTTTTTGTTTGTTTTGTTTTGTTTTTTTTTTTTTGGGGTTCTATTTAACATGGATATATATAGTTATCCATATGTATTTCAAACCGTTAAACAACACGCCCTGAAATTCAGTCCTGAAGTAAAACTAAAATTGAATACATAGTTTCATATACACAATACAGTTTATTTGTTTCATAAGCTTACATTTGCAGGGGAAGGAAAAAAGCTCGGGTGAAATAACGTTTAAACATCGGCTTCAAGTCGGCACAGGGCTGAATAATTCAGCGCCTTCTTTACAAAGGGTGAACAATAGTCCAACGCTTTGCCCAGCGCGGGCTATTTGACGGTGATCACGTGACTTGGATCAGCCAATACATTTCCCTCCACCTTGCCTCCACCAAATACTATTGTTTCAATAAGCAGATTCCTTTGACTCTACATTTCTATTTCTTTCGTCTCTCTCCAAATGACGTGAATTTCATGGTATTATACGTGTGCTATATGATATTGATATGCTTCCATCCATGTGTATTTCAAGCCTCTTATTTCAAACATCTCGCTGTCTAGTAAAACTAAAACTGTATCCATTAGTGTACATGGCTCAAAATCATTTATTTCTCATCACGATATATTTGGATGGGAAAAAAACACACCCTAGTATGAAATAACATATAAACCTACACCAACTTTCCATTACTTTGATGGTGTTATACTTATACAGTTCACGTTCTGTATGAAATGTTTTTCAACTACATTTTACATGACTCGAAGATTCCGTCTCCGAACCATGTTGACACAACCCGTCTCTATTGTGATACGATGTACTTTCAACACACACACCCTGCATTCATCAAAACAGGTCGCACGCTCTGTCGAGCGCGGGCTATTTAAAACGACGGAGTCACGTGAGTTGTCAAGCGCGCTCAATTCAAAACCGGGCTGATGGGTACTGTCTGTCAGTCTAATCAGGGCAGCATGCTATACATAGCTCTATTCAGGACACTTTGCTTTTGTTTTGTTTTTTTCTCGCTTAATGAAGAGTTTTCTGCACGACTGCCTTAAAACACCCACACCTTTCATTGAACTTTCCTGACCTGTGACGTGCTGTCTATATTTACCTATCAGCTATGATCACGTGACTTGGATCAGTCAATACATTTCCCTCCATCAAATACTATTGTTTCAATAAGCAGATTCCTTGACTCTACATTTCTATTTCTTTCGTCTCTCTCCAAATGACGTGACTTTCATGGTATTATACGTGTGCTATATGATATTGATATGCTTCTATCCATGTGTATTTCAAGCCTCTTTTTTCAAACATCTCGCTGTCTAGTAAAACTAAAACTGTATCCATTAGTGTACATGGCTCAAAATCATTTATTTCTCATCACGCTATATTTGGATGCAAAAAAAACAAACTAGTATGAAATAACATATAAACCTACACCAACTTTCCATTACTTTGATAGTGTTATACTTGTACAGGACGCGTTTTGTATGAAATGTTTTTCAACTACATTTTACATGACTCGAAGATTCCATCTCCTAACCATGTTGACACAACCCGTCTCTATTGTGATACGATGTACTTTCAACACACACACCCCGCATTCATCAAAACAGGTCGCGCGGCTCTGTCGAGCGCGGGCTATTTAAAACGACGGAGTCACGTGAGTTGTCAAGCGCGCTCAATTCAAAACTGGCTGACGGGTACTGTCTGTCTGTCTATTCAGGGCAGCATGCTATACATAGATCTATTCAGGACACTTTGCTTTTGTTTTTCGCTTAATGAAGAGTTTGCTGCCTTAAAACACCCACACCTTTCATTGAACTTTCCTGACCTGTGACGTGCTGTCTATATTTACCTATCAGCTATGATCACGTGACTTACATCAGCCAATCCATGTCCTTACCTTCCCTCCACCTTCCCTCCACCAAAAGGACCGTCTGGCGACACGTTATATACTACTTACGAGTGAGCGAGTGAGTGTGGTTTGCGCCGCTTTTTGTAATATTCCAGCAATATCTCGGGGGTGGCCTCACACATTATGCAAATATGGGAAATTGAACCCGGATCCACGAGCGAACGCTTTAACCACTAGCCAAGCAAACCGACCCTCCATGATCAACGAGGACACGTGACCAGAACATAATTTGTTAAACATCAAGCACATTCCTATGGTTGTTTTCATATATGGACACAGCAGATAATTTCATATATGCTTTCATTCGGAAAGTGAAGTATGTGTATATATAACATTTTATTTTCTAGCATTGCCATTGAAAAACATAGTTTTATTACTTCCTTTTTAAACTGTTTCTGAAGAGAGAATACAATGCAACCATTCGGAATAACACATATATAGGATTCAGATTTAAGATTCACAAATCGTAATCGAGACGGGAAGCTATATGAGGACCTTAGGAGAACGCATAACTTGTCAGTTGACACGATTTATCATCAATGAAGATCTTACCGGACCCGAGCAGCGCAAGCTCGAAGGGCCCGCCAACTGGTCTTGTATAAGAAAGTTGAGGCGTCATGGGTGACCAGCGGGGTCATGCATCCTCATTAAGATGGGGGCCGGGCCGGCGAGAAAGGTGGCCAACAGCACTTCGATGAAGTGTGCAAGTCTACTAAACTCAAGGTGGTGATTAGTCTGAGTCAAGAAAAATGAATACTATTACAGTCATGAGATAACTTGTTTGAAATACCCATACTGCCCTTGCACGATC